CACGCTTAATCTGGGGTGCAAAGGGCAACGTGAGAGGCCCACACCAGTCATACTCAGCCTCTTACTTCAAAGCCGCTGTTCATCTCAGCAGCAGAAAGCCCCGGAGGAATCCTTGACATGTGTCGCTCCGACTATCTCCGTTTACCTCTGAAGCTACATCTTAGGTACCCACAAACAGCAAGTCTCCTAGATCGGCAGGTTTTTTTTAAAGTTTTTACTAAGGACATCCTACCAGGTAGATCTTGAGAAGAGCCGCACAACGCCTTACCAAAACTGACGATTGGCTACGTTCTTCGAAGCAGTTAGCTTCTCACGACATGAACATGACCGACGGCAGTCCACAGCCTTTCAATGAACCCAGTTCCTTACTGCGTGGCGATCATTCGAGCCCATCCGTCTCAAATGGTACAACGCCTTAAAACGCCGCGTGGCAAACTGATCACGTTCGTCGGAAGATGCTGCGGCCAGCTGCGATTCTTACGAGTAGAAATACGCCTAGCTATTCGTCATTTATACTGTTAAGTGTGTGAAGTAAATCTTGGCTGCAAAATCTGCGGAAGCACTAATCTGGGGGCATTGGAAAAGCACTGCCACCACTGATCTGTGATGTTAGCACTGATATAGTGTAGCATGTAGTATATTTCTGTCACCTGCTAAACCTGTCCTGATTAAGGCTGCTATGTTTCGCTACATCTTTTGGCTCAACTTGCCCATAAACCGATACATCAACGTTTTGATACGTGCTTTACACATGCTCACGCTGCAAGCGTTAGTGAGCACAGACGACTATTACGCTTTGGGTTCCGTCTAGCTGGGATGGTCTGTCGTAATATTGGCTGGTGTGTTGTGATTTGGTTTCAGTCTCGCAATTTTACCACCCATTGGGTCGCCAAAGTGCCTGTTTTTGTCACCGATCCTTTTTTCTAACCGCCCCCCCCCCCCCCCCCCATTAACGGACGACCAGGGTGACCCTTCCGCTATGCCAGGCACACACACGTGACCCTTCCGCTATGCCAGGCACACACACGTGACCCTTCCGCTATGCCAGGCACACACACGTGACCCTTCCGCTATCCCAGGCACACACTGAACCCTCCGTTAATGCCAAAAATGATAGAAGCAAGTCGCGGCAATTCCTGCTAAGAGGTGAAAACTGTGGCAAAAACCAAATAAAAGAATGAGGTTATAAAGCTCACCAGCAGGTTTTGTTAGTATTTACGAGCAATACACAGAGGAGGCAAAATAGTGGTCGTAGCCAATGGTAAAATAAGATTGGTCGCTAATGCCCGCCAGAGAAAGTAACTCAGTCACACGATATCAGTACAATAACATTCACGCAGGCTGGGAAGGGCAAAGATCTTGTCCAAGGGATGTAGGTCCAAGGGCCCACCTTCGGCCACCCACCAGCCTTAGCAAGCTTGTTGCAGGTGGGCGATCGAAAGACAGCCGCCATTTGCGGGTTGAAAACGTACACATGGTCATAGTAGAGTTAGGCACACACACACACACACCACACACACACACACACACACACACACACACACACACACACACACACACACACACACACACACACACACACACACACACACACACACACACACACACACACACACACACACACACACACACACACACACACACACACACACACACACACACACACACACACACACACACACACACACACACACACACACACACACACACACACACACACACACACACACACACACACACACACACACACACACACACACACACACACACACACACACACACACACACACACACATGTACACACAAAAGCACACACAGCAGCATGGTCCATCTAATGTATCACGAAGAATTATGCCTTGCGAGAGAATGATCTTTTGTGAGCCTCTTCATGCAGTTTTTTGTTGTCTCAAATGCATCTTAGTGTAAACAGGGCGTCCATTTCAGGGCAGGCTCGAAGTGAGTTTTCAGTGCACTAAGGAGATTAACTGCTGCTTTGCAAAGTCCCTAACGCTAAGTATCTTAGGCTTGTTAAAATAGGATAGCAATGCGTCAATCTGTGTTGATTAGCAACAATTCTAATTGAGCGCTTTTAATTGCGATCGCATCCGATAAATGGAAGCTTTTTCCCTTCCGCCAGTAGTGTCGTCGGTCCTCCACGCGGCACCTACCGCCAACCACTCAGATAACTTTTTAACCGATCAGGGTTCACGCCGTGCCGCGGAAGCTTTGTTATTAGCAAATCATGCTCATCACTGTCGAAGGCCTTTTGTAGATCAACCTCTGTCATCGAATATATTTCTTAGCTGTCGGTGTTTCTCACCAGCTCTGTCACAGGGTCGAGCAGAGCGTCCTCAGTACAGTGACGTTGCCGTTGTGCATATTGGGCAGCGCAGAAAATACCATTGTTATCGCGACGCGGGCTGAGCTGGCTGCAAACGGCTCTTTTAAGAATTACGGACAGCATACTGAAAAAATATGAGCCTTAACTGGTACAGTTGGATCGCCTGATTTCAGTATGGGTGCCGCACCATTAATTTCATGCAGTTCTCCATCAGTTGGAAAATACCCGGGTTATAAGGGAGGGAGTAATTCATGATCCACATAACATGCGCACTGACCACAGGAAAGCACCGTCGCACTGCTATTATGGGGACGGTTTCCACACCCACAGCTCTCGAGCTTGTCACCCACCGGGACGACCAGGGTAACTCAGGGAGAGTAGTGGACTTGAAAGTGAAAGAAGTCATGCAAACAGTGGGCAGCCGGGGTAAATGTCCGGTGCTGCCTCTCAGTGTGGCGTCAATACGTGACCCAGCCGTCGCAAAATGACGGTTGAACTCGTCAGCCGGTCAGGGCTACCTTCAAAGAGAACTTTTCGGTCTGCGGATGACGTCGTCGCGAATCGTTTGTGAAAGTATGCCAAAGTTGTGCCGGCCACGAAATTTATTACGCGACAGGTGAGCTCACTTTTGGCAACTATGATGGTGCACTTAATGCTGTTTCGTAGCCATGTGAAGTCCGTGTAAGCCTTTGGGGTGCGCGGAGCCAGCCAGGTGCCCTCACTGTGTCCTGCTCAGAATTCAAAGCCCGCAGCCGCGGGTTAATTATGCTGCCAGCGGCAGCTGGGACGCTCCACGCAAGCAGTTTTACCGGGCAGGACAACCCACCACATCTTTCCATTTTTTCATGAATGTTTTTGCCATCACGTTCACAGTATTCGTGTCGCGCAGTTCCACCACATAGGCGGCGAGCAGGCCCATCCAGATAGCGCCCCAGACAGCCGGGTGCCAGCCCCGAGTAGTGCGTTTCTGGGCTAGTTGTCTCACCCTGCCCAGCCCCGCAGTGACGGCGGTGGGCTGATGATCACTGATGGTATCAGGGAGGACAGTGACTGCTGGTAGCGGATCGAGTTGATTTGTGATCGAGTGATCAAGTGCCGTGGGCGTTGGTAGAAGGTGAGCAGGTCTGATCCCCCAGCTGTGCTATGTTCATGCCGCTGTTCGAGTTGAGTTAGTGCTGGACACCTGGGATACTCAGTGCCAAGACGTGGATGTTCATGTCTCCCAAGAGAGAGGTTTGTTAGAAGGAGCAAGGCACATCGCGAAGCTGGTCCTGTATTTGGCCCAGACTCCCAGCCGACAGGCCGTCGGGTGAAAGATTCTCCAGCAGTGATGCATGGATGTTGACGTCAACCTGGACATGGCGCATTGATGGGAATCGGTGGCAGAACTGAGGTGCCGGACCCCGCTACCAGACTCATGCAGGTAAGCCCCCAGTTAGGAAAGTACCAGGACAGCGGGAAACACATATTCTAGAGTATTCTGTATGTAACAGTGTTATGTATCTACAAGTGTGTTGAATAGTCACCACACGCGGGCCACGCAGACATTTAATTTGCGCCTCAATACTCATATTTTTTTCGTTCTTGCCCTCTACGCATTGTCGGAAGTAATTTCAAACTCAGCTGGTCGCCAAGGCGAACGGACGACGTTTGTTTCCGCCCACGCCTTCGGCCGCTGGTAGAGCCGCACGTGCCGTTCAGGACCTCGTGTGAGGCGGGTAATTTTATCGCCACCACCCGCCTGGCCGGGTCTGCCAGCTTGTAACGGGGCAAACCTGACGCCCGGTCTCCAGCGGCCGGGCGGCGGCTGGGCCGGGCTGGTCAACAATAAACAGCTCACTGAGAGCACGCTCCCAGCGACGATGTCCGCCCAGACGATCAATCGCCGCGGTGAACGGAGGCGCCGATGACGCTGCGCCGCCAGCACGAGAACAGTGACCCGGGTGTGGAGTACATGGCGGATGTCGATCACACCCGGTACTGCCTTCTCCTGACGCGGCCAGTCGCCGACGGAATGCGAGTGAAAGGTATGGCACTTGTCTAGAAGGGCATTGGATTTTCGCCATTTGAAGGTACATTTGGCTTAACTAGCCATGTTCAATGTGCTTTTTCAAAGCATGATATGAATTCACGAATTATCACAAAACAATTTTTTTTTTGTTACGCAGCGTGTCGAAATTCCAAACTCCGACAAACAACCATTTATTGCACTGACACGCCTTCACAATTCATGTTCATTCCGCAATAATGCATATATTGCTTATCATAATGCATATGATAAGCAATGAATGCATATTTCCAGCAGGATTACAAATGCCGTTCCCTCGGACAGAATGGTGTGAAGCTGAATGTAACTGATTCGTTGAAAGCCAGTGAATAACGGCGTTTTTAAACCAAGGTCTTAGAGCAACACAAAAAAAGAGATCGACCATATCCTCAGTCCAAATACGATCGAGGGCCCTTAACGAAGATTGCTTCGTGTAGCCTAAAATACAGGTCCCTATCGCTCATTGTGCGTACACCTACGCACGCGACGCCATCACCTGTCGGCGAGACACTGCAGTCACTGACCCCGTCGGAAGTTCCGGCCCTGGTCGTGCGCCGAACATGACGCATCTCAGCATGACCGCGCTGGGTCTACGAACCGACGGACTGCTAGCTCTTGAGCACTCTTCAACTGAACGTTCTTCAACGCTGGCAGCTGTCCCGCCAGTCAGTCATTTCTCAGGTACGATTTCAGCCATCCTCCGACTGAAAGAAAGACAGGGAAAGAGCCCCAGATAATTGTGCCTATGCGATATGCTTACACGCCATGTGCTTATATTCGAGGATGGAATGAATCGTTCTTTTCTTCATGAGGAAATATTTGCACAAATCCGTATAGGTCACCTTAATCTTTGTCAACGGCTTATGGTGAATACCTTGCGCTTCAAGATAGCAACTGATGTGAGCAAAATCTAGCCAGCTAGCCCGATTTCAGAAAACAAAGATTGATGCTGATATGGATCACAATATACTGAGCTCTCAATTACTGCGTCTCATGAAATCTTGCGCACCTTATTGGCATAGGAAACATTACGGCGATTCATTATGGGCGGCGAGGACTGGATGGGGTGGAAAACAAACCTTCATAACGTTTGCCTGCTTGCGTTTTTGGGCACGATGCCGATGATCCCTGAGAAACGGAAACCCAGATTAAGATCGGGTATGAGTTGTATACTTTTTTGTTAATTACGACGCACGTATTGAGTCTCGAGATGATATATGCTGCCGAGCTACACAACTGTATGAGGAAGCAAGGAACACGTAGAGTAGATATTTTCAAAGACCCACTCAACGCTATCACCGATTTCTTCCCTTTAGAGTTCACGACTTTAAGCAGGGGCCGTGCAACGTCACATATAGCAATGCGTCCCAAACAGGTCTGGATAACACTCGAAGACCAAGAACGGCACGTCATGAAATAAGACCCGACTCATCCTCGTGTACAAAATGTGGGAAGTGTGTTCAAAGTAGCCGCTGGATCAGAGTTGCTAAACCTGAGGCTCTCTTGCTGAACAGAAGTGAGAAAACAAAACCCGAAATTATGTGCATTATAAGACATACGTTGTATGTCCTACTGCGCTCCTCATCCCAGCTGAAACGCAACACTTCAGCTGAGCGGTACGTATCCTGTCCCTCCCCCCCCCCCCACGCTCTCTCCCTGACCGACCTGGACGCCCGTGAAATCGATATTGGTGCGCACCGGGCGCCGGTGCAGCGGCTGCGGAGTGCGGAAGTTGTCCCCCAGTGGTGACCTGGTGTCATCCGTCTGCAGGCTCTGGCTGAGGCGCCGCAGTTGCTCCAACTGCAGACCGCCAGGCGGCGCGGACAGTGTGGCTGACAAACTGCTCAGTCATAACGGCCTAGCTGATTGTACGGGAAACGTGGCAGGTTAGCGGACGGATCCGGCCAGATTTATGTGCCAAGGCTGTGACATGCTCATCATCACGGCGCTGCGCGGGCTGAGGATCCAGGGGAGAATGAGATTCGCTGGTTGAAGGAGCATACTTATATACTTTGGACTCGAAAGTAAGTCTGGATGCCGATACTCGGGGTGAGGACGGGGGGCAGGTACTGTAACGGTGGACCCTCCAAATAAACTTGGACATGAAATAACAATAAACTAGATGCCTCGCACCGAATGTGAAGAAACGGTATTGCGAGGCGTGATGGTTACATATAATAATCTTATCAACACAAATTGATCAAACTGATCTTCTATCAACGTGACATTATTTCCTTCGTATGGTGGTTCAAGACGAAGCCCGGTCAATTGCTTGCACCAGTATGATACTAAGTTCCTAGAGCCTGGCTCCCAGATCCAAGGTCAGCAGATCGTCAGTTTCTATCAGCGCTACTGATATCGGGGATCTCAAGTTGCACTGTGAAGGTATCAGCAGCCATGCTCGATGAGGTGATGGCTGCGTTCCTCACCTGACATCAGCAAACATGCATGATAAGGTGGTGACTGCCTCATCATCTGACATCAGCAAACACGCGTGATGAGGTGACGGCTGTCTCTCTCACCTGACATCAGCAGCCATGCATGATGTGACGGTTGCCTCCCTCACCTGACATCAGTGGCCATGCGTGATGAGGTGACGGTTGTCTCCCTCACCTGACAACAGCAGCCATGCATGATGAGGTGACGGTTGCCTCCCTCACCTGACATCAGCAACCATGCGTGATGGGGTGACGGCTACCTCCCTCACCTGACGCGTGGTAATATAGATTGGCTTGTTCATCAGAACCCAGGTGACCGACTCGTCACAGCCGGGCCAGGTAAGCGATCCCTCGTAGGTCAGGTAGAACTCGGTGCTGGGCAGCAGTTCACTGACGCTGACATTCGCCAGACATATCGCATCATCTGCGGCACGTTATTCGAATGCAGACTGGACTAGAAAGAATTGCCAAAAAGATGCGTGAACTAGGGAGCGATCCGCAGCAAACAATCGTGTAATGTTGTCGCCAGTAACGGAAATGGTCGACGTGAATCGAATGATTCGACGCAGATAACGCCAGGTCATCGCCGTACGCAGAATGCGTGCCGATTGACACGTCAGCAAGAGCGTGAGTGGAGGCTGCTGTGGCGAAAGAGCGTGAGTGGCGGCTGCTGTCGCGTAAGAGCGTGAGTGGCGGCTGCTGTGGCTTAAGAGTGTGAGTGGCGGCTGCTGTGGCGTAAGAGCGTGAGTGGCGGCTGCTGTGGCTTAAGAGTGTGAGTGGAGGCTGCTGTGGCGTAACAGCGTGAGTGGCGGCTGCTGTGGCGCAAGACCGTGAGTGGCGGCTGCTGTGGCGTAGGAGCGTGAGTGGCGGCTGCTGTGGCGTAAGAGCGTGAGTGGCGGCTGCTGTGGCGTAAGAGCGTGAGTGGAGGCTGCTGTGGCACGCACAACTCACCTCGGTAGGGTGTTGCTACGCTGGCGTCGGCGAGGCGCGCCAGCTGGTGACTGGTCGCCGAGCCTTGCTGGGAAACAGCAACACCACCTGTCACCACCACCGGACGGCAACACCACCCGTCACCCCACCGGACGTCAATACCACCTGTCACCACCACCAGAAGACGACACAGCACGTGCAGCAGACACGCCGACCAGAAGCCCGGGCTGTGCCCGAATCAGTTACAGCAAAACCGAAGATCGTTATCAGGATGTCTCCAACTGAGACTGTTGGGTTGACAATGTACAGGGTGGACCACCCACCTAGGTTTAGGCGGGTTAAGGATTGAGGATGTGGGGCACGTGGAAGGAGTATATTTTCCCATGCCGACTTGGGTTCCGGTTTTGGGAAGGAAGTGGGCCTACTCCGGGAAAACCCCGCTGTTGACATTTTTTGGACACAGGTTTTGTCATTTTATATTGATCAGCTCCTTTCTCCAATTCATTCCACGCAACAGCACTCCTTGTTTGGGGTGTCAAGATCCCAAAACGTCTTTATTCGGCAGGAAGGTAGGTTCCAAAACATGGACATGACCAGCATCCTATGACCTTGGTCTTGCACGTGTTTTTAATTTGTTTAGGAGGGGAGCTATTAGGGCCTTACAACGCTCTCAGGAGCCGATATTATATCAAACATATCGTCATCGTTCAAATACCAAAAAAAACATTCATTATTGAATACCAGCGTGCAAGACATGCATGTCTTTGTGACTCAGCGATTCGCGACTCTGCGCTGCCCCGTTTATCACAATCAGTTGTAGAGCTTTATAATACCTGTTAAGTTATATTCTTGCACACTCCTTTACTGCATATACAAATATATATATATATATATATATATATATATATATATATATATGTAACGTGTGTGTATGGGTGTTTCAGTGATGGCGGTATCATCAATGTTAACCTTAACGCTTGGCTTATCACCATATCGTTTAACACCTTTCAGGTCCGTAGTTAAGAAAGGATAGGCACGCAGAGGCCAGCATTCTTCTCCATCTTTATTAGCGCAGCGAGTGGTCAGATCAATAAGTATGAATTAAAAAGTGTCACAGTAAGTGACGAAACGGACGCACCATTATATACATTGCATTACTACACTTCCTATCAGAAAATTATATATTTCTTATCGTCTTGCTGCATTTTATGTTTCCATTACCGTATCATAAGACATTTTTGCATTTGCCTAGCGTACACATGTTTTCATATCGGCGTCTGGCCACTTAAAAATACAACAGCGACCAAGTCCACCAGAGTTATAGGGCGGTGACCAGTACCACCGGACTCATAGTGTAGCAGCCAATCCCACAGGAGCCAGGACAGCTGCCACTCTAACCAGGGCCGGGGCAGCGACCCGACTCCAACGAATCCACCGCAGCCCGGTCCAATAAGACTAGTTCCTGTCCACGACTATACCCGAGCCAGCGGGGCAACCAGTATGTGGTCTGAGCCTCCGCGGCGGCCCGCGCTGCTAGACATAGAGCAGCAGCTAGTATGCGATCTGAACCTTTGCAGTGGCCCGCGCTGTCAGGCATAGAGCAGCAGCTAGTATGAGATCCGAACCTCTGCGGCGGCCCGCGCTGCTAGACATAGAGCAGCAGCTAGTATGTGATCTGAACCTTTGCGGTGGCCCGCGCTGTCAGACATAGAGCAGCAGCTAGTATGTGATCTGAACCTCTGCGGTGGCCCGCGCTGCTAGACACAGAGCAGCAGCCAGTCTCACACAGAGCCAGAGCGGTGGCTCAGCCCGCCTGAGCCGGCGAAAGTGCCATCATCGGATCCTACGCAGCAGCCGCTCCCTCCGCCTTCCAGGGCAACGGCTGGCCTCACCGGATCCAGCACCCGATCCAGTGTAGCAGCCGCTCTCTCCGACCCCAGGGCAGCGGCTGGCCTCACCGGATCCGTCATCGGATCCAGCGCAGCAGCCGCTCTCTCCGACCCCAGGGCAGCGGCTGGCCTCACCGGATCTAGCACCCGATCCAGCGCAGCAGCCGCTCTCTCCGACCCCAGGGCAGCGGGTGACCTCACCGGATCCGTCATCGGATCCAGCGCAGCAGCCGCTCTCTCCGACCCCAGGGCAGCGGGTGACCTCACCGGATCCAGCACCCGATCCAGCGCAGCAGCCGCTCTCTCCGACCCCAGGGCAGCGGCTGGCCTCACGGGATCCGGCATCGGATCCAGCGCAGCAGCCGCTCTCTCCATCCCCAGGGCAGCGGGTGACGTCATCGGATCCAGCACCGGGTTCAGTGCAGCAGGCGCTCCCTCCAAGCTCAGGACAGCGGCTGGCCTCACCGGGGCCAGCTCCGGAGCCACGGCTTACACACAACTGGGAAACCATGAAGGTTTCATGGTGTTTTAAATTTCAAGCTTCCCAATAATAATCCAACAAAGCTCCACAGAATGCCTAGGATAACAGCCACTCCGATGGGCCTTCTAGGGCCATTTGTTTTTCCGCCCACCTTACCTCAAGGGGCTTACCTAAATTCTCCTTTGTGCATTGGTTCTAAGAACCAATGCTATTTTGTACGATTTTTTAGTTTGCCCGGGTGATTTGGATAGCGAGTTGCCGTCCCCGACTGTACCTTAGCTAGTGCAGCACTCAGCTTGGCATCTGAACCTTTGGTGGATGATTTGTTAGTCCTGCAACTTGCTGGTTAACGGAACCAGCCATCGAATGCCATAATGGGAAGCAGTAGTCATTGTATTATAACATAAGTAAGCTTAATCAGCATTCATTTCGGTCAGCCATAGCTGGAAGCCTTTGCATGAATAATAGATCGTTGCCCTAAAAAGGACGAAAGCGAACGCAAAAAGAAATGCCGGTTCCTCCCGACCCAAGCTATGCTCCCGCATAAGCATATGAGCCTTGAGTAAAGAAAACTGATTACGGTGTCGAGCAAGGAAAATGCTGTGATTCCAAGGTGTCAACCGTTTATTTCTTGTTCTATCGATCGTAAACAAACGTCGCTAGAAGCAGCTCCCTGAACAACTGCCTACAGGAACCAACAGTATGTAAAAAGTGCCGTGGTATTGCCCCACTTTCTTAACTTGACTTTTCAGTTCGGCCGTGCACCCCAGGCATGGCTGCCGGTTTCCGAGCCAACAATTCTGCCCTGCCGCCGCGCCCGAAGTCCTATCTTCATTACATGGGTGTTGTTTCGTATTCTGCGGGGGAGGGCTCCAGCCCCCCTTCCTCAGCTTGGGCTCCCGTCAACTTTGGGAAGAAAGTGTGCCAAAATATGGGGATGTGGGCAAAGACCCGATTGGTGGCCTATTTGGGGATAGTTTTTGCCATTTTTCACACTTCAACACCCCCAAATTCATTTTGCGAGGCTATGCCGCTGCTTCATTCCCCGCCCACGTTCACTTTCCACCCTCATCCTGGAAAACCAGCTTCACTTCCACGTATCACTCCTCGCGATTGCTTCAGTAAAGGCGGATATCATGTGCTGCGGTGAACGCATCGCCGCACGCCCACATGACAACATGCGGGCAGGACATCTCACCTGAACTAGCACCGCGACGATAACAATGCCGCTGTTGCCGGAGGCCGCAGCTGTCAGGTTTGGATACAGGTTCGCGTTGTATCCCAACAGCTGGACCTGCGGAGGGGTGGCCACGCGTCCGACGGTTAGGCTCCGTGAAACGGCAGCTAACCGCTGTGCGGCGTGCGGCCTGCCCGCGCCATGCCTGCTGTTTTTGTGGTATGGGCCTTCGAGCGAAGGACCGTTGTTGTAATCATGCCGTATGGTGGAGAGCAATGAACTTCGCTTCCCGCCAGTGATCTCATGATTGTCAGGTGGGTAGTCAGTGCGTAGAGATCAGACGGTGTACAAATTCACCGCGTTTCGGACATTGCATGTGCGTGTTCGTGCCGGCATCAGATTGCATTAATCGCCCTCCTGCGCGTGAAAGTCATGCTGCGTATTCTGGCGTTGCAGATGGTATTTCCCTGCCCAACTCACGCAAACAGAGAGATTATTACTATGTACTTTGAGCCAGCCACCGGTGCAATAATTAGGTTTCACAGATACGGCAAAGTCAGCGTGCGCTTATTGCTTATGTGGTCGTTCTGAAACATGCTAAACACAAATATTTTATAAAATGTCACAGCTGCACCCTAAGAGCGCCTTAATTAGAGCAAAACGAACTCGGAAGTCTTACTTCAGCCGGAAATGGCTTTCCGGATATTTGGTGTTCCGACCCCCGAGCGTTCTTCATTCCGAAGTGGATGTGCACTTCTTGGAACTGATAACTGTGTATAAAAGGTCAGATGAGCAAACAGACAGCACTGAAGCCGCGACAAAGCCAAGCAAGAATAGACGAAAGCAGACACTCGAATTCGGAATTGTTACCACAACAATAGATGGCTATTCCTTCCAGGGGGCATAATGACTGAGTGCCCGGCCTTCAGCTCCCGCGTGGGGGCCCGGGCTCGAATCCCGGTAAATCTATGACCTCTGAGCGCTGATATGACCTCTACAGCCGCTTCGTGTCATGAAGGGATTCGCGACGACACGCGACGCATTACTGTTTTAAAGGTGGACTACTGACCCGTAGCTGAGCGAGGCACCGGTGATATTGACCTGACCCCGGTGCGAGTCCAGTACGCTGAACACCAGCCCGTGCCCGGAGTTCCTCAGGCAGCCCGACACCTGTCACAGGCACAGCCTCAGCGTCGCACACGTACAGCACCTTGTTTCAAAGTTTGACGCTGTGATTCGGCGGAGGCCGTGGAAATAGGAGCCGCGTTGGGTTGCACCTGACACGAATAGCGTGTCTTAGAGTAAGTTGGGTGCTATCCGTGCTTGCAACAGACACAAGACGGTTGGTTTCACAGCTTGGCGGGGCCTGACACATAACACATCGTCCCTGAGTCGACTGATAGTGCACCAGCTGCTGGGACAACTAAAACTGATCCTTCGGTAGATTACAATCACGGCGGCTGCGATTGGTGGAAAATATCTGAGTAAACCAATCCCACCAACCGTGTGCACAGAAAGCAAAAGCCACAGACATCACAATGAGGCAACGTAAACTATCCACATCCTTTGGCACATGTCACGTGAGGTCGGTGATACATTTGGTGCCAGATGTTCCAAAAAAGCGCGGGAATGTGCAATACATTTTCATTTTGCACGATGTTGCATGAATAAAGCAGGCCAGCGAACTGGATCGCGATTTGAGATGTGACGGTGGCAGAAAAGTGCAGAGATGCTGCAAGCAAAAGACAGGGCTATAGTCAAACAGTCTTCACAAAATCTACGTGAGTTTAATAAGGCAAGGTAGTGCCAACCGAACGGAGCGTTGCGTAAAGGACGTCTAAAAATGCAATGAGCTGCTTTAAAATGCGGACAAGCAACACAAGACGTCATATACAATTAGGCAGAATATGGCGGGACACATACGGCGGCATTGTCGACGTGTAGATAGCCCAGTTGTGGGTCGAACAGAAGTGAATCGGGCTCGACGTTGATGGGCGACTGCCGACGACCCTTGTGACACGTGCCCCAGTCCGGGTTAAACACCCCCCAGTAGGAGGTGCCTGACGGAATAAACGAGTGTCGGAGCGAGAACGAGAACGAGAGTACACGTGCTGGTCGGCCCAGAGCTTGATGCGGCGTTCCGCACCGTTTCAGGAATCGACACATGGTGTTCTTAGCCCGTCTGGTGTGAAGATGACGTTAAACATTAACAGGGAAACTGCAACTCAATGCAAAATAACCTGTACAAGCTTGGTATATTGCAGTAAGTAGACATATCTGTCACTCCAAACTGCTGGCAAGTGAATCGTCTGCTTCAGGTTGGACATTGCCAAAAAGACCATGATCGATACAAAATCAGTACACATCGCAGGTAACCAATGGTCATTAGGCCACTCGTTCACAATTACATCCGAAAAGTAGAAATGGCCTTGAGACCTCATTGATCCCTGCAAGTGCTAAAATGTGCTGTGTATGCATTACTGCTTATTCTCCAATGTGCGAAACGTCAGCCGACACAAACTCATCCCCGCAAATTTCGCATAGGCTGTGCAGTTAGCATGGTCTGAACATCACACGTAATACTTGCAACGAGTGGTGACGATGTTAAACGCCAGATTTGATTTAAAAGACAGGTTCCAACGAAAATTGGCGACTCCTAAAATACGCGGTGTATGTATCATCAGCTCCATATATAGGGCAGTCTAACGGGACATTCGCTTCAGTGCTCTAACTCCTAGCTTCTAACGTACCTGATATGCCATCGTAGGTCCACCACTGGTCCCAAACGACGCAACTCACACCTGGGGAGAGCCAAGCTTTGTGTACACACTGCAGGTACACATGTACCGAACAGAGACGCTGGAGTGACGCCGAAAAGGTCGTCACAGACACTTGACGCAGTGACTGCCTGTGATCTGGGTCACCTGGTGACATTTCCGATGTCACGGCTGGTGCATTTTCTCGCCACTGACATAGTTAGTTACGTGGTTTTGGCGAGCCCAGCACAGTCAACAGATATTCATACAGAGGAAAAGGCACATACACGTACTTAGCATATACATGCAAGCAGAAATATACACCACGCCGCGAGACTCAGTTTTTTGGCCTGCGTCATGTATGACAGGTTAGGTTCTGACGGGAGCTTTACGCTTGCGAAACCAACTGTAAAGCACGCCACTTGGAACATCGTGTCAACGTCAGCGGTGGTTCAGATGCTTGATGCGGCAGTGCCTTACCTAGAACCTTTACAAAGTGGTACCATACTGTCAGCGAGGTGAGCCTCATGCTTATCTTATGGCTGCAGTCATCACGCATCTGGAAGTAAAAGCAAACCCTCTGGAAAACTGCCACAAAGTTTGGCCCACTGCTGCACGTTGGCAAGGGAGACGTTCGAGAGCATGCATGGTAGGCTGCAATTTTTCCTCGTTGAGAGATTAAGTAGCGGAAAGTTTCCACCGAGGAATTTCGATTAAGTGCCATGAATTGGCTGGGGCTATAAATGCACGTATAATTATGTCGGTCGAACATCCAAAGGAGCAGTGACGGTGAACACATGCGCTCCCGATGTTGAACATTGACACGCTCATTATAAAATATGTACACACAATTTCAACGTTAAAATGCGAATGATTACATTGAAGATAAACGTCCATAAAACATAGCGTGCTGTGAACAACCGACAGGCATGTATGTAAACATAACAAATATAATTACAACCGCCTTAAAATGCCTCCTTTGGCAGATGCGTTGACCACCATACGCGATTGTCATATTAAAAAAGGATAAAATCCTAGGATTTACAAACCTGAGTTAGGAAACTTCATCTCCAAACGAATATCTGCACTTTGAGCGCCCCTGTCATAAATGCATATTTTTTAAAGCCTGCGTTCGTGGCTTAACCTGACCGAGTTCGAAGCGGCACGAACTGACCCCAGCATGACCGCGACCCCGCAATGAGTGCGCCCTCGGCTCACCTGACCTGTGGCCTCAGTTTGTCCAGGGGCGGCGCGTTCCAGCTGAGGCCGCCTGACCCACACCGCCGTCAGCTGGGACTGGCTCCGTCTCCGACCCACCGGAGTGCCCGGCGCGTACCGGCGCGCGTCGATGCTTGCGGTCGAGAAGTGTCTCTCACAAGCATCTGCGTCGAGACTGGGTGGTTGCGTGCCTATAATTTAGCCCAAGCGGGGTGCGTGACAATGTTCCAATCAGAGCCGCAATCAGGCCGACACGCCATTTTGCGACGAATGCAGCTTATTTAGCTCAACTGCATGTCCTTGTAACACGCATAACATTCGTGGCGCATGTCATGTGTCATATGGTGTGAAATATCAATGTGGGAAGAAAGCGCTCGAGGGGCACTGCCCTCCCGTCCACCTTAATGATCGTAAATTTCGAACGTTAGCTCTATGGCAACGTCCTTAATGGTCGACTTTGAAGAGCGCCAAAATATCACAACTTTTCAGGCTTTGACGCCCTGTTATTAACATCTCCCAACATCGGGCTTTCGTTGCGACTGCTGTGCTATGGACTATGAATTCCTCCTTTGCAGAGGAGTTGTGACCAAAATAAGGAATCCATACAGCTCAGCAGCAGGTAACCTGCTACATCTTAAAACTATGCCTCAAACATATTTTGTGGAAGTCCTTATTACTTGCAGCACGTAGGTCGCGAACGCATCAGCCTGCACAAAATGCCGGCAATGTTTGTCGCTGCTCGGAGCGCACTCAGCTAGTTTGTTCACCGAAAATGAAATGTTATATAGCTTACTCACTTGATATCAAAATGAGAGGCCCTCAGCTTCTGTTTCCTCGGCATGATGAGTTCTGGGCTCTCATGGTAAGTTATCGACCTTCAGTTTGGACGGAACACTGATTTAACGGTGTTATGGTGCAGACATTGGTTATATTGGCAACGGCCTGGTTACACTGGCGATATTGACGCTCGAAGTTACCATAAGCCGAGTTTGAAGCGTTGAGCTCCGTCAAGATAACCAATGTTTGCACTGTGGTATCGTTTTATCAGCACCTATTGTATACTGAAGGTAAATAACGGCGGATGAAAACTTGGAGCTCATATTGTATCATGCTTTTTAGAATCGATGCAAATTATATTTCGTTGCGAAAGGAAATTTGGGCCAGACTGGAAATGTCAGCGGCCGGTGACAGCAGCAGCCCTCAGGGTCAAATGATGTCAGAAGGTATGATAAGGCGTGCAGAGGATTACGGAGCTTGAAGCTTTCGCCAGAAAATTCTTCCTAGCTCCGAGATTTCACGATGATCGTATATTGGGGTTAAAACTCAAACAGCAAACGCTACTTAACGCGGGACATGCGATCCTAGAAACCCCATCCAATAAAAATATCCGGCATGCATGTTAAAAACATGTTAGATTATTTTGACAGAGTGCTGATTGCACTGGACTGGACTGGGCATATAATTAAACAGACATTGCACTATATAATATGGTAAACTACGGACTCGAGATGCCAAACTTTATCTAAAAATATCGGAGACAAGCTTCCTGCTTTGGGCCTTCCTGGAGAGTGAGTTTAGAGAAAAACAAAGACAAACATAACATCAGTGCGCCCAAAAATGTATGCTCTTGTCGATATGGGAAGTCATCTACGAAGATCGTTACACTGATAGAACTAAGACCCGCAGGCTACTAGACTCACGAATACCGTGCACACATAAACACGCGTGCATCTTACATATCGCTATTCTACAAGTAGATTCTGCACATTACCGTTCCACCTATATATCTTTATTATTCCAGGCCCTTGTGATTGACATCATCGCGACATCGCGACATATGTCATGAAATACATGGCATGCACGACATATATGTGAGTGTGACACATAGCGAGCACCCAAAGCGACTCGATCTCACCCCGCTACAGATGGTGGATCGGAAGGCAGATGCTCTAACCAACTGATCCATCGGGACGCACAGAGTTTTACCTTTGACTTTCGATTTGACCTTTACTCAGGTACCACATATGAAAAATAACTGCAGAAATGAGCTCCCTGCCATCAAACGCCTCTGCAGCACGGTATCACACGACAATCCAAGTCAACGAGATCAAACTTAAGGTCGGAACTATGGTGTTCACTATGGTGGAGAGATCGGTGTGCCGACAGCACCGGGCAGGTGTAGCCAGACAGAAGAGTGATGGCAGGTAAGCACAGTCAAGTCCCTGGTTACAAGCGTTGTATAAGCAATAGTACGTCGAACTGAGTGCAGCTTTATTGGTAATGAAGAAGGATGTGCAATATGAAGCACGAACAGTGCCCACGGGTGCCCAGTGCCCTTGTTTGATGCTAAATTAGGCACCGATCAATGGTGGCAACGGCTCGTCCCCGGCCACCGCCTTCGCCTTCCCCCTGCCGGCGATCTTCTTCATGACGCGCTTGTCAGTAGCCATGTGCTGCCAAAGACACGCACCGCAGTGACCAAGCACATCAGGCAAGCTCTCCAGACGGCAGCTGCACGGCAGCGCTGCCTTGAAAATCGTGCGCTGGCGGCCTCACTGATCGCATTGATGGCAAGAGGTTGCGTTCAGCGCAGTGGAGGAAGCTCTATCCCAATCATCCTAACCCATTCAATCTATGCTAATCATCCGTCCTAATTATCGACGTATTCAGTTCGACCAATCCAGAGAAATAAAGTGGAACATGACGGAGATTGATGCAATGACCCCACCGGGCATATCTTGGTACCTCTCCGCACAGTCCCCAGCCACCAATGGCCGGAGTACAGCCCCGCTCTGCCCGATACCCAGGGCCCGCCCCAAAACAATAGTTACTGCGATGGCCGCCAGGGGGTCGCGAGATCCCGAGTCCGATCAGTCCAGTAAAGACAGAAACCATCCGGTGAGAATTACGTGCAGCTGAAAGGAAGGAAACTACGTAACGCTTGTTTAATGCAGAGTGTGGTGCAAATTGTGCCGTGTATTGTACCATGTCAAGCTTTTGTCACAAAATTATGTGATTGACACAGAGCTCAACGACCAAAGAGTGAGGCTAGGGCTCACATAACAAGCACAGCTTAGCACAACACAGATAGAAGAGATCAATCCATTTAAAAGGCTCGGCTTGGATATGAAAACGTATATATTGTTGTGTCTAGCCTTAAACCAAAAACGTTTTCATAGCGCTCGTTTTTTGATCGAGTAGTACTTCATCATTGCTTTTCTGGCCACTTTAAGTTCAGATTAGTTTTATATGCCTGTACTACTTTTAACGGGAACATTTTCACCTAGGAATCTTCTTATAAACCAAATCGGAAACGCACTAGAACTAGGATAAATAGGAGAAAGACCCATGAAGTGCTGCCAAGCCTATAGGGTAGATTTGATTACGAAGGCGTTTGTTTTGGAGTCACTTGCTTATTCATCATTCAACATTTACGGTAGCTTATGATTTGGTCAGATGGGACAAATTCACAAATTTAAAATGAGGAGTATGTATGTGGTGAAGCGAAAACGGTCCCACGGTTAGTGGGCTATTCCTCTTGACCAGACGATAAATGACGGTTTTCACTTCGATTCATCCCAGGTTTTGGACACATCAACTCTGGTAATAGCAAGGGTTCCGGCCCAATAATTGCGGTCTGAGAAAGGTGGGGATACGTTCTTTTTGTTCACTCAGTCAGGAAAGAATGAGTTGTGAGGTGGCGACAAAGACAGCGATGGCTGTGCATGTGTTTTTGCATCTCAAAGAGAAAGGCACGTATAAGGTGTCATGCATAAAGCGTCACGTGACTGCATGCAGGTGTTGCAGGTATCCAGGTGTTGCTATATGTTCATTGCTGACCTTGTGCTGATTTGGTAAATTTCTGGCAGTTTGTGGACGTTTCGTCGGACTCTGAGTGGTTCGCAGTCGACATCGTAAAGTAGACCGTTCAGATGCGAACTCTCAATACGCGCCCTTTTGTGTCCTCTCACTAGGCGCGTCATTTTGAACTGCGTGCGCTCTAGTCTCGCGTCAACTGCCGTTAAATGCGAAACTCAGACAGCATTGCAGTCCTCCATAGTTTGTCAATTATTTATCCAGTAAATCCAATTAAAAAATGTACGTGACGTATACCTAATGCCACAGAATATCGAGAACCAGGTGGCTTGTTGAATTTGCTCAGGGTTTCACTAACAGGATTATAGAATCGCGATCATAGATCGCAATCCTGATATGAACGGCGCAATAGGGTACATAAGATTTTTGGGGCAGATGTTGGCCGACCGTTTATTTTTAGTTCGAGGTGTTGGCTTGTTCTGTTAGAAAATGTTT